TTTTGATGAGCGTCCCCCCCATTCAGCACCATTCCCAGATGCTGGCAGCCACTGTATTAGTATCTGCTTCTGCAAGTGACTCTTTCAGATTCTACATAAACATCATTTGTCTTTTTCTAACTCATCCCACTTAGCACAGTGTCATCACCATTTATGCATGTTGACACAAATGGTATGAGTTTTTTTTCTTTTTTATAGCTGAGTAATACTGTACTGTGCATGTTGTGCGTACACTATATTTTCTTTACCCATTCATCTGCCACTGTATGTTTAAGTCATTCTCCCTCTTAGAATAGATGCATCTGCACTCCCACCTTTGTTTCAGTGAATCATGCTACAGTGAGTATAGGAGTACAAATACCTTCCTGAGATACTGATTTTATTTCCTCTAGATACATGTTCAGAAGTGGGCTTGTTGGATCATATGATAGTTCTATCTTTAACTTTTTAGTGAATCTCTGCACTATTTATCACTTTATATTTCCACTGATAGTGCACAAAGGTCCCCTTTCTTTGCACCTTACCAGTATTTATTATTGTGTGCTTTCTTGATTATAGCTATCAGAAGTGTAGAATAGATCATTGTGGTTTTGATTTTTATTTACTTCGTGATTGAGGATCTTGAGCACTTTTCATAATGTTGGCCATATTTATATCTTTTTTTTGGAAAATACATATTCAGAACCTCTTCCCATTTTGTAACCTAAAGTTTGTTTGGGTTTTTACTGTTGAACCGTAAGAATTAACATATATATTTTGGTATTAATTGCTTACCAAATAATAAGATTCCGAATTTTTTTTTCTTTTCATAGTTTGCCTTTCATTGTTTGTGCATGTGTTTATTTGGGGACTCATCATTCTGTCCCATTGGCCAGGTAATTTGAATTTTACGTTAGGTTTTATGTTTTGTTTTCTTGCTTCAGAGAAAGTTGGGCTTTGTTCTACTTTCCTACTTACAAATGTGTTGATGTTTTCTAGTCTTGTTAGCTTCGCCAGAGGAGAGTTTATTTTTACTTCTTTTGAGAGCTCTACTAAATGCCTGAGTGTTGAAGAATGGTTTGTTCTCAGTACTTAGACGTTAAATGTCTCTCAGCTCTGTAAGAGCTCAGGGAATTAGTAGACACAGAGCTCCCCAGTCCTTTCCTTCTTTCTCCATCAGGTCAACACTGTCATGCGTTACTTAGTGCTCAGTAGCAGTCTGGTCTGTCCTGCAAATGCTGTCTACTTCACTGTCCTCAAAAGCTCCTCAGTGAAACCTCTTGAGCTTTTCTTAGGATTTCCATTCCTAAATATATCAAAAATTTCTCCTGTGCAGAAAAAGGGGTACTTTTCTTCTACGTAGAAAATGGGTACCTACTTGTGTATCTTGGAATCCATAGTTCCAGAACTATTCAACAGGTCAAAATAGAACTCGGTGTTTTTCTACGCGCTTCCTGTTCTTTTCCACTATATTCTTGGCAGTGGCATCTGCTCAACTGGCAGTAGGGAAAGCTCTCCATGATAGATCTTAGACTTGGCCCAGTTGGTATAGGACAGTTCCCTGTGGAATCTCGAATCTTCTGGAATGTACACTGCTGTCGCCCTCAGTGATAGCCCTCCAAAATTATCTTCCAGCTCATATGTAACTTTTGGTATTCCTAAGCGTGTTTATTCTTTAACTGTATTACCTATTCCATGGTCAGTGTTATAGTTTTAGTTGAATATGTGTCTCTTTTCACGAGGTTGCGATGTCCTTGTGAAAATGATTCCATTTTATCTCATGTCTGTAGCTTTTCACGACTAGTACTAAGTATGTGGAAATAACTTTCTGTGTCGGACATTGTCTCACTGTGGTCCCAGAACCTTTTTTTCTTCCATTGCTGTCACAGTTATCTTTTTAATATTAGTTGGGTTTTTTTTTTTTTTTTTTGTGATACCAGGGATTGAACTCAGGGCACTTAACTCCACTGAGCTATCTCTCCGGCCCCTCTTTTTCTTTTTTTCTGGTTTTTTTTTTTTGTTTGTTTGTTTGTTTTTCTTTTTTGTCCCAAGCCTCTTAAAACTGCGTATTCACACAATAAAATTCAAGGTCATATCATGATGGTCAAAGTCCTAAATAAACTGGCTCAAGCCATCTGTTTCATTTACATTCTGTCACTGCCCTGTATTTCTCTACCATTTTTTTCTCTTTAGAATTATTGCAAAAGTTGTATTATTTATTATGCCTACATTTATGTTGGGTTATGCTAGAGATAAAAGGTAGATAAATATTAAGTAGTAATGTTTTATAGTTTTATTTATACATGTTTTCCGTTTGTGAAAAAGCCTATCCTCCTAAACTTAAATGAAGTATGTTTTTTCTGTGATGCCCTGCCAAATCATTCCAGTATATTCTTAACTTACCTATCTTGTCATTTCTGTCATTGGTTTAGAAGCCCTAATGGCTCGGAATATGTTTTTTTCAACCTATTTAATAAGTGACTGTTCTTGCTCAGAGTGTGTATCTTGCATTTAGAGACAAGTGTTCCCAGGGAGAGCATTGCCACAATCAGGGCTGTAAAACTAAGAGACTTTGTCTCAGTTGTCATTGTGCCCCTCTCTTTCCCTTCCCAGTGTCCAAGTGAGTGACTTTAGAATAATTGATGCTCACTACAAGAATACGAATTGGAGAGCTGGTTTAAAGCAAGGTGGAAATTAAGAAGGATGATCCAGACAGGAGGAAATCGTGAGAGCTGCTGCATGAGCCGAAGCCAAAGGGGAGGAGGGTAGTTGGTATCTGCAGCACCAGGACAGCAAGAAGTGGGCCAGACTGTGACTAGGTTGTTGGCATTGCCAATTAAGAGGTGGCTCGATAGCTTAGCAAGAACAAATCCCGCGGAGTAGCAAGGGTAGACATCAGATGGCAATGGGTTGAGAAATAAATAGAAATCTTCCCCTTAAATATAAATTTTTAGCAGATATTTTTATAAAAATTGGCTGGCAGACAAGTTGAAGATATATGATCTAAATAAAGATCTAGAATCCTGAATATATTACATTAATTTAGGAAGGATCTATATTTTTTGTAAAGTGGATGAGCAGTAGTAGACTTGACATACTTTTCAGAAAATTTAGAAATCTAATCACTGTCTCTGTCCATTTGGAAATTTAACGTAATTCTACGTAGACATCACAGCACTGTATTCATCTAAGTTACTAATATTTTATATAAAGCATAATGGAAGTTATTTAGACTTAGAAATTTTTAGAAATTGTTTTATTGGTGATCCAAGGTTGTTTCTGCTCCTTATGTTTGTGTAGATAGTGATGGATGAATAGTACACACATGCCTATGTAAAATGAATAAATTTTTAAAAGTATTCCTGAGTAATTACACAAATGACTTTTAACATACTATATTTGAGCATATGTTAGATATAGTTAATATTTCTATAGTGAGATTATTTTTATCATATGTAGTGTGCCATAATTTTAATAACTTGTTTGCTTCTTGATATTACATAGCATGGTCATCACTCAATCAGTACCTTCCTAGATTTGGTGAAATATGACAGTAGAGGAGGGAGCATTAAAGTATAGAGACTGGACCAAATATTTTAGTTTTCGTATATTGTAATTTCTGTCTCTTGTTCTCTCCCTCATTCTAGCTGTCAGAGCAAAATGAATCTGTAGCGAATCTGTTTTATGTTATAGAACCTGAAATTATGATTTGTTATATACAGAACACATCTCAGCAGTGTTGTAGAAGTGTTATGAGTCCTTGATTGGTATAAGGATACTGTAGTCGAGGGTGCGGTCACTAGTTTGTTTTCCTTTAATTACATGTATGTATTGAGTACCTTCCATGTTACCTGGCAGCGTACTTAGCTCTGTAAATAATCTTTCATTATTCTTGGCAGATTTCTTTATAGTGAAACGATTCGACAAAGACTGTTCCTCAGTTCATAGTGCTTGACACTCCCCCTTCTTCAGGCATGGTATTGAATGGAGAAGAGAGCTGATTCTTTGCAGCTTTTAAAGCAGAGAGCTAGAGCTGGGTGTTTGGTCAGAGCATTTAGGAAGTATTTGTGCCCTATTGGATAGAACAGTGGTTGACTAAAAAATGAACTGACTTAACAGTTTTAAGTAACCATATGATAAAAGGTTGACATATTTAAATATTACTGAAAAGAAAATGATATAGAGTGAGAACTGTAACAGGAATAATAGTAGCTTCTCAGCCTATTGTGGATGTTATTAAAGTAGATTAAAAGCTTTGAGTCTGGGCTGCGGAAGATAGCTCAGTGGTCTAAGCGCCTGCCTGGCAAATGCAAGGACCTAGGTTTGATCCCCGATACTGCATGCTGTTCCAGCCCACCACGTGCCTGTAATCCCAACACTGGGGAGCCTGAGACAGCAGGACCACAAGTCTGAGCTGTGTAGTGAGTGAGACCCTGTATCAAATAAATAAAGATTAAAAGAATAAATAAATAAAACTTTGAGCCTTAAAGTTTCTCACTTTTGGAATGTTGACTAAAACTTTTAACTTATTTCTAGACATAGAATGAATCAACAGTTGTAGACTAACAAGTTCATGTAAGTCAGTTTTAGCAAATCAGCCATCTTTTCTCGGAAATCAGATGAGGATTAAATAAAAATACTATATACATGCTTGTGTTCCTTTGTTTTTAATACTGTCTCCATACCTATGCCTTACAAGATGGAAGCAACAGCACAGTGAGGGGAAGATGCAGTCTAATGAAGCATACTTTTTCCTCTGGTAACTGAAGGTTAAATGGGTAGCAAGCAGAATGCCTTAAACAAGATTGGTATATTGATTAAAACGCTGATTTAACAGCTCGCAGTTTCCCCTTGGAAACCTGGAAAAGATAAACCAGCTGCTGCCTAAGAGCGCTGGCTGTCCACCGAGAGTACACTATCTATCATCACAATATGGTGATGAGAGGTGTTTTATGTTTGTGTTAATTTCCCCCACTAAATCAGTAATTATTACAATCCTGGCCCTGCTGTTTACCCTGCAGCTGTTTTTCCATTTGTCGAGAGAGCGGGTGTTCTCTGAGGACCGCACACGTTTCTACGGTGCAGAAATTGTCTCAGCCTTGGACTATCTACATTCCGGAAAGATTGTGTACCGTGATCTCAAGGTAAAAAAAAAAAAAAAGTAATCAAAATTTGTTTTTGCAGAGACTGTAGGGACAAACAAAGTAATTACAAAGTTACACAGTTTTGAGAAAAGCAGATTTAGTTTGAAAAAAAGGCAGTGTGTGTAGAATGTAGCTCACCACATTTGACAGGAGATGTTTTTCACTAAGGTGGATGGGATTCCTTTATGTCTGAGTTTTTCACGTACAAAATAATTTCTGCCTGATTATTGTGATCACCTATTATCTGGAATAGTACAGAAGTTTTATTTTCCCATGACTATTACAGTTGGAGAAATGTTAAATATTGGAGTAAAAATCAGATATTTTTGCAAGTAACACTTTATAAAAAGTTCATTATTTTCTCACATGCTTAATTTTGTGAAGAATCACTGAACATGTTTATGAAGGAACTTTTGTAATAAGACCATTAAAAGGAAAGCTCTTTTGCTAGGTTTAAATGCCTTAAGCATTTTAATACATAAAGCTTTTTATTAATTTGCTTATGTTTTCATATATAGTAGCACAATATTTTATTGCTAATAAGAGTTTCAACTACTCTAAATTCTTTTATGTTGAGACCTTTAGAATAGCTTAGGATAAGCAAACCTTCTGGGAAGGCCAGATGTTAAATATTGAGATTTTTCTGCTCATGAAGTCTCTTTTGAAACAATTTAGCCCTGCTATTGAATAGGAAACCTGCTTCAGTCCTTAGACAGATGCATGTATTTGACAGTGCTCCTGTTTACAAAAACAGACAGTGATCTAGCTTTGGTCGATGTACCACAGGTATACTGATCCCTAGAGTTGGTTATTATATAAGGTAGTAACATTTATGCCATTGTTACAAATATGGCGGCTTATGCAGGAAATTTTTACCTCAACATTTTAAACAAATTCCTAAATGTTACAATGTCATTTTCTTAGAAGGTAAATCATATAAATTATAAATCATATAATCTTTATCTGCATAATTGATTTGTTCATCAAGTACTTGTTTATTTAGGATATGATTTGATTTATAGAAATAAGTTAACCTGAAAATTTTCTGTAATTTTGTTTTGTGTAAAATGAGTTATGTATCTAGAGAATTACCCCACTCCAATCTCACTTTAAAAAAACTATTATTTTTATCTGATTATTTAAGCAGTTCTCTGTGTTCTTGCAAGATATTCCCTATCATGCTTCTTCATGTTATAAGGGACTTTACTGAGTAGCTAGCTTCTAAGTATTATTTTATACATTGGCACTGTTATTTATGCAGTGAAATACAGTATGTATAATTTGTTACTTACTGAATTTTTTTTAAAGTTTGAAAGTATATAGGAACAGATGAACTAAAAGTCAACTAATTTTGAGATGACTAAGTGAATACAAGTTGTCCATGTATTTGTATTCAGCTTGAATCTTTTGTAACTAGAAATACAGCTGCATTTGGAATCTTTATATCTGATGTTTGCATATTCCAGTAATTCTGTAATGTTTAATGAATATAGATAAATGTGTTTAAAGAAGTTATGTGACATGATAAACTATATTATTGGTTTTCCAAATTTGCACAGAAATATTGTTTTGTTCCTGGATCTGCTCCCACATTGCTTTCTGAAGCCTACTCTTGGGAGGAAGAATGGAAGAGGCCTTGGTTTTAGGAAATAAAAATAGTTTGAAGTAATGGCTAACATAGCTAAAATACTTAAAACCAGATGACAGAATTATTAGTTAAAAAAACCTAAAGGAAAGAATGTTGATTTGATTACTAGCATTGATTATAGAATAATAATTAGGATGATCTTAATTGGTATTCTCCATTAACCATTTATAATCAACTGAATCAGTGTACTGATATAATGAAGTTCATTAGATAAGAATTTTGTTGCCTCATCTTTTCTGATGATGGAGTTAGACAAAATTAAGGGGTTGCACAGAGTGCCTACTTGATACATGAATAACCAATGTTTAATTTACAGTATGTGGAGACCTCTAACTTTACTGGACAGTTAAGTGGTCTTTCTTCCCAGGCTTGTTTTCTAACATAGCCTTAACGTAAGGCCTGAGGCAGTGTGCCGCACCCATTCATGTGAGTGTATGCCAGAGGAGGCATGTAGTCTGTACGGGTGTGTACTAGGGAAGCTGTATGGTGTAAGAAACCTGACGTTTAAGACCAAAAAGCTACAACTCTTGTTGCACAGGTCCTGCTTTACCTTGGTCTTAACCATCCAGTAGAAAAGTATGAAAACGAAATATAGGAAGTAAAGCCATGTTGTTAAGTTGAGCTGTGGGGGACTCAGGTCAATAATTTCTGACATTGCCAGTTAAACAGAAGACCCAATGCTATTATGGGCTACTGGACTCTCT